CGCTGTTGCAGGAGCATGTACACCCTTGAGAGCAGCCCATGCCTTTGGTCCTTTCTCTGGTTCACGCTGGAATGGCTTGATGTGACGGATCTGACTGCTCCCCAACGCTTGCCCAAGTAAGAGATAGCCTTGTGCGCTCTTCCGCACCCACGGGCTCTTCTCCGGGTCGTTCTCGGGGCGCTTCTCCGTTCCTTCCATCACCTCCAGCAGGTCATAGTGGTCAAAGATGTTCTCCATCTTGAAGGACCATTCAGCAAAGTTGTCACCGTTGAACTTGTCAAGCCCAAACACCCTAGGCTCATCCCTAGGTGGGCCAAGACTTGGTTGCATGGGCGCCATGGCTGAATCACGGGGTTGGCCTTGAGCTTGAGCTTCTCCACTGCCACCAGCACCTCTGCCACCCCTTTCCTCAGGTCCAGACATTGTCGAAACTGCTCCAAGGGGCTCTGATACCACTTGTTATAGTCACAATAGGCTTGAATGTGCCTAAAACGAAAGATAGAGAGCACAGACGGATTTCTGCACAGCGGCTTCAAACGTTGATAGCGTTCTGCTCACAGCTGCAAATGACTTGATTCAAATTGGATCTGGAGCGTCTTCACGTCATCTACAATTATCAATTTAGATTGCACGATTTGATAAAGAATTGACGACACAGCGTCGGTTTGAACGAACGGTACTATGGCAGCCACTATAGTCTTAGAACACAAGATAGGAAGAGTTACGAGTTGGGAATGACTCTCAGCTCCTACAAACCCCAAGAGCCGAGGTACAGTGATGTGGAACAGTGCCACACTGTCCCCAACCACGAAGGGTCTCGAAACTACCCTTCACTAGGGCCTACACCAAGTGAAATGTTACACTACACAAAGTAATGTAACTATCTTCAATATCTTGAGGTGTACCCTTTTGGCAAGCTTCGAAATCACTTGAGGCTTGACACCAAGGCTCGGGCTCTTCATCACAAACTCATCCTTGAGTTCTTGATGGGTCTGCTGCACACACCTGCGACACGCCGAACGTTCGACACAGGACAAAATAGAAACCGCGCACGACAAAATAGAAACCGCGCGCGAGACACAAACGACCGCGTAACACGCGTCTAGCGATAACTCGCTATTGACTCGACACACACACTCGACATCATGACTCAACATTCACACACAATTATAAGCATGAAATATATATTATCCCATGCCCTCATACCATTCCATACACACACACATTCACGCACACGGACAACAAGCCGAGTGCAAACCGTAGGGTTGCACCAACAGGGCCCCCAGGACATGTCTGGTGTGTACTGCAACGCGCAGGGCATCGTGGTGGACTTCTTCCTCAAGCAGCGCTTCATGCGCGGCACCATGCACCCCGCCATCTCCAAGCTCACCGCCCTCACCGCCCTGTCAGTGCCGCTCGCTTGCCCACTCCCACCACGCCTCCCCGCCTACCGCTCATTGCCACCCCTCATTTCCGCTGGTCTAGTCTCCATTCATTTTCCCTGCAAGGGCCCCTCGACATGGGCTAGTCCCACTGCTCCGTCATGCGCTCATACAGACCACTCCCCACTAACCCCCTGCGTGCCCCGCTACAGTGACCTGTCGAGCAACTTCCTGTCGGGCCCATTGGACCCCTTCATCTCGCCTCTCACCGGCCTCACCGCCCTCAAATACCTGTACGCCCTCCACCACCACCCTGCCCCTTCTCACTCACCCCGCTCTTTCCTGCAAGCCTTGATCTTCGCCGCTCTCCGTGAACTCGTCTTGCCCGTCTCTACTCATCGCTAACCTGCTCTCCCTCCCCCACTCTTTCCTCCCCTCGTGTGTGCCGCGTGCAGCGTCATGAGTTACAACTTCTTCTCGGGCTCCATCCCCTCCACCATCTCAGCCATCAAGAGCCTCTACATGCTGTGAGCGCCCTCACCCTCCCCACACACCCACCCTCTCCAAATTTCACCGCTCTCCCCTCTGAATATCCTGCCCTGCTGCGCCCTGAGTCGTGTCATCGTACCCACCCACCCCTTCCCCATGTGCTTGTGTGTGGTGCAAACAGGAGCCTGGGGTGGAACTACCTGACGGGCACGGTGCCGGTGCCGGCCGCAGCACTGCAGGTGCTGGATATAGAGAACAACTGGTTCAGCGGCAAGTTCCCCACCACTACCAACTGGTACTTCTGCACGGCGCGCAGCAACTGCTTCAACGACCCCACGGCGTGCAAGAACAACAACAACCAGGGCATCACGCAGCGGCCGTCGTGTGCCATCTGCAACAGCGCGGACGCCACAGGCACGCTGTGCGGCGGCATTGTTGCCTGCCAGCCTGACCCGGCTGCCGTGAAGGCTACCACGGCCTTCCCAACCACCGCCACTCCCGTGCTCGCCCTCACGTGCCCTCCTGTTCCGCCCGTCACCACGGACGCCACTGCAGGTATGACTGCTGCTGTGCCGCATGCTGCTGCCACCGTGCTGCTGCTGGCCTATGCCTCTCCTCATCATGTGCATGCCCATGCCTCTCATCTCTCCTCATCATGTGCATGCCCATGCCTCTCATCTCTCCTCATCATGTGCATGCCCATGCCTCTCATCTCTCCTCATCATGTGCATGCCCATGCCTCTCATCCCTCCTCATCATGTGCATGCCCATGCCTCTCATCTCTCCTCATCATGTGCATGCCCATGCCTCTCATCTCTCCTCATCATGTGCATGCCCATGCCTCTCATCTCTCCTCATGTGCATGCCCATGCCTCTCATCTCTCCTCATCATGTGCATGCCCATGCCTCTCACCAATGCTACCCATGTGTCCCACCGCCCCCCGCCACCAGCATCGGCGCTGATGAACATCAAGACAGCGCTGGGCGTGACGTACACCAACTGGGCGGCCTCAGCCACCTGCAATGCTGTCGGCAGCTCGGGAGGCAGCGGCTTCACGGGCGTCGAGTGCAACAGCCTGGGCCAACCCGTCAAGATGTGAGCATCAAGCACCAGGGGACGGGTGGGAGGAGCATCAGAGAGGGGAGGTTCCGAGGCTTTCCCACAACTGCCTCTCTAGTGGGGAGCATTGGAGGGGGAGGCTTGGAGAGAAGCATGGGAACTTTCAGTCAAACACTGTTATGTGTTTTCTTCGCATTTCTCATCTCCCCCATCTATCAGTTTCCCATCCTGCTCCCACCATGGCTCACTTCCCCTTCGCTCTCTCCACTTGCTCCCACCTTCCCGCACCACCCCCCCCCCCCACCCCCTCCGGCCCACCGCACCCTGGACAGTCAGAAGCTGTCAGGCATTCTGCATGCTGACATCACCAAGCCCACTGCACTCACATTCCTGTAAGCAGCACTCACATTCCTGTAAGCAGCACTCACATTCATGTAAGCAGCACTCACATTCATGTAAGCAGCACTCACATTCATGTAAGCACAACTTCCACCTACACACTTGCATGCTCACTCGTATCTTCCGGTCTTTCCATGCACAGCTTTTCGTCACATTGAGACCCTACTCTCATTCGATTTTCTATCTCCCCCCCTCCCCTTTCCCCCTCCTCACCTCCCCTCCCCGCGTGTGCCACTGGGGTGCGCGAGGCAGCTCGCTCAAGTCGAACCTCTTCAGGGCGCGCCTGGAGGAGTTTGGCCGGCCGATTCCATCGCTGCCCAACCTCGCAGTGCTGTGAGTCGCCTCCCAATCCTGCTGTGCACCGCACTGCATCGATTGCTCGCACTGCATCGGTTGCTCGCACTGCATTGGTTGCTCGCACTGCATTGGTTGCTCGCACTGCATCGGTTGCTCGCAATGCATTGGTTGCTCGCACTGCATTGGTTGCTCGCACTGCATTGGTTGCTCGCACTGCATTGGTTGCTCGCACTGCATTGGTTGCTCGCACTGCATTGGTTGCTCGCACTGCATTGGTTGCTCGCACTGCATTGGTTGCTCGCGCTGCATTGGCTGCTCGCACTGCATTGGTTGCTCGCACTGCATCGATTGCTCGCACTCTGCTCGTCCCACCGCCGGTCGCTGCTCGCCCCACAGCACCACCTTGTTTTGCCACCTTACCCCAACACCACATCTTGCCTTGCCAACTTACCCACTAACCGTGTCCTTTGGTTTTCGTTGTGTGTGTCCATGGGTGTGCGGTCTCTGTGTGCATGTTTGTGTGTGCGTGCATGCGAGCGTGCATATGTGTGTGGCTGTGTGTGTGTCCCCTGCAGCCTGCTGGACTTCAACTGGTTCTTTGGCAGTCTACCCCCTGCCATGATCGGCATGCCCAAGCTCACACGCCTGTCAGTCACTCTCTAAGCGTCGCCCAGTAATTGCCCTGTGCTCCCTTGCTGCTTAGCAAATGTTTTCACCCAACGGATCATTTAGCCATAGCATCCCAAACCATGGAATGGCTCGGCATATCTGCACACCCACCCATCCTCCCTCCTCCAACCTTACTCCTCTCTCATTTCCCCTCCCCCCCCCTTTGAACCCCCCTCGCGTCCTGCTCGTGCCAGCGGCCTGTCCTACAACTACCTCACATACCGCGTGCCGCCGGTGTCAGCAGCACTCAAGGACATCGACATGGGCTTTAACTTCCTCTCGGGCTCCTTCCCGGCCAACACCGCCACGTCGTGTGGTGCCGCCAACAACTGCTTCAAGGCCGTCACTGGGTGCACCACCACGGGCACGGCGCAGCGCAGCTTGGGGTGCAACTTCTGCGAGTCCACCACAGCGCAGGGCATGCTGTGCTACGGCCGCGGCGTCTGCACCGTCGACGCCTCCGCGCCCTTCGCCGCCGGCACGCCCAACGCTGTCGGCGCCGCCACGCTGCCGCTGGCTTGCGTCAGTAAGTGCCGGGTGCTTAGGAGGAAAGGAGGGGGAAAGAGGGTGGAAGATGCTGCTGACGCTGGTGCACGCGGGTGGGTGCTGCTGCCATTTCCGGCACTGCCTTCCCTTGCAACTCACTCTCTCCTTCCTCTCCCCCTGCCCCGCCCTCCTGAACCTGTGTGTGTGTGTGTGTGCAGCCACCGTGTGTGGCTCTGCCTCGCCCGTCATGTGTCCCAACGACTGGCGCAGCACGGGTCTGCAATGCGTCATGAACTTTGTCAACTGCTTCGGCTACCTCTGCATCTAGGCCACGTCCACTCTGCTGCTGCACGCCTGCTTGCTTTGCTGCAGAGTTCCTTGGTTTGCCGCAGGGTTGATTGGTTTGCCACAGGGTTGTCTGCTTTGCCGCAAGGCTCTTTGGTTTGCCGCAGGTTTGATTGGTTTGTTGCAAGGCTGTCTGCTTTGCTGCAGGGCTGTTTGGTTTGCTGCGGCGCAGCTGGCTGGTCTTCATTGGTTAGTGCTATGAAGCCATTCACTTTCGTGTTAGATGCTTGGAATGCCATTTAGCCAAGGAGACTGGGTGAACTTTTTCAATACAACGATTTGGCTGAGTATTGCATTGGTACTAGGTATTATGATCGCACTAGAAATCTGTATTTTCGTCCCGAAATTTTGTTGTTCAGTGGAAGATTGTGGGAAAGTGCAATGCAGATAAATGGTGTGAGTTATACCGTAGTATTGAACGCGTTTCGAGGAGGATGAGTCGCTGAAAAGTAGCGAGAAATGGAAACCGCTCCTAAACGTTGTTCACCGTCTCTAACCGCGTCAAACGAGCAGTGAACAAATTTTTCTGACCCGCCTGAGTCCCGTATACCCACACCTCACGGACGTTCATCCAGAACAGAGCCACAGGTTATCTAGTACAACAACGTGCTTCGTTCCTCCGCACCAGCGCAGTGCCAGCGTGCTCTCATGTCCGCGGCAACGCCTTTTCCGCCCACGCTGCCGTGGCACTCGCAGCGCCTCACTCACCTGCCCCGTCGTGCGCCGTTACCCTCCCCTCACCATCGCTTCCCCGCGCCGCCCCGCCGGTCCGTCGTCGTTGCCAGGGCCCCCGAAACCCCCGCCGTTGCTGCAGCTGCACCTGCCGCTACTACGCGCAGCGCATGCGGCGTCGACCCTCCGGCACGACAGCCCCTCTCCGCCGCGAATGACGCAACCCTAAGCCTCCGCGCGCTGCTCGCCGGCCCCGCGTCCGCCGCCCTCCTGCTCCTCCTCGTCGCGCACGGCCTCGCGCTGCCGCCCGTTGCCGCCGTTGCCTCCGCCGGAGGAATGCCCTCGGGAGTGGCGGAACCCGCGGCGGTGGAGGAGGTGAGGGGAATGCGCACGTGCTCCGCGGGTGACGGGGAGCGATGGTGCGCGCCAACGTTAGCGGAAGACGCGAATGGCGCAGCGAGCGCGGGATTGACGAGCGGAGAGCGGTTTGGGTTGCCGGAGGAGTTGAGAAACAGATACGTGCTGCTGCGACACGGGCGGAGCCTGGCCAATGAGAGAGGACTGATCGTCAGCAGCCTGGTGAGGCGCGCCCTGCGCGCCGCGCCGTCCTTCCGCCCTCCTTTCCCCCAGCTGTGCCCGTCTGTGCCTCCTACTACCCACCTGCCGCCTCCTGAAGCACTGCCGCCTTTCCCCCTCGTCACCTGCGAAACCCTATTCCCCCGCTGGACCCCCCTCTGGGTGCGTGGCAGGCGAACGGGGTGTCGGCGGAGTTTGGGCTGGCGGCGGAGGGCAGGCAGCAGGCGCAGCGCGCAGGGCGGCAGCTGAGGGAGGTGAGCGGGGGCAGGTGAGCGAGGTGAGAGGGGAGGCTGGCGCGCAGGTGAGACGCCCACCCCCCCCCTTCTCTGTGTGGCCCCACCCCCCCCCTGCTCTGTGTGGCCCCACCCCCCCCTGCTCTGTGTGGCCCCACCCCCCCCTGCTCTGTGTGGCCCCACCCCCCCCTGCTCTGTGTGGCCCCACCCCCCCCTGCTCTGTGTGGTGCAGCTGCTGGAGCAGCGCGGAGTGGCGGGGAGGGACGTGGTGGTGATGGCGTCACCCTTCAGCCGCACGCAGCAGACAGCCGCTCTGTCAGCGGCGGAGCTGGGCATCGACGTGCTCGGCACGCGCTTCCAGGTGGGGTGGGGTCCCAAAGCCTCCAACCCATGCCTCCACACCCTCTTTCCCCTCTGCTCCCCTCAGCCCTCTCCCACACCCACCACCCATCCCTTCCCCCAACCCCCCTCCCCCCCGCTCCCACCTCCTGTCCGCTTTCATGGTTTTCTCATTCTGTAACGATTTTCCCTTCCATGCTCCCTTTGTTGCATTGCTGCTTCTCCCGGTCGCCCCCGATCGGTGCTCACTTGCTCACTCGTATCCCCCGTGCTCTCACTCACTTCCCGCTCACAGCCTGCTCACTGTCACCATTCCCTGGCGCCAATGCTGTGGCACTCGCTCCTCATTCTCGCCCGCCTGCGCCCACCATATGATAACCACTTGACCCTAACTGTGCCCACCTCACTGCGCCACCCATGGCATAATCCTCACTTGACCCCAACTGTGCGTGTGGCGTGCAGACAGCGGAGGAGCTGAGGGAGCGCTACTTCGGGCACCACCTGGAGCTCAACTCCCATGACCTCGTGCGTGCCCTGCTGCCACACCCACTCTGCACCCTCTTACTCTCCCTTGCTCGCTGAAACATACACGCACACTTGCACGCTCACCAGAAGCCCAGTCTCTCTGCACTCTAGCGCCATCTTATCCCTGATGCACATTCATTGCTCCTGTGCATTTCAGTTCCAGCCCGATACTCAGCTCCCCCCTACTCCCCCCCACCTCCACTGTGTGCTGTGTGGCAGTATCCAGCAGTGTGGGTGGACGACAAGAAGGACGCCGCATTCCGCCCAGGTGGCGATGGGGAGAGTGTGCTAGCTGTGGCGCAAAGAACGGCGCGTCTCATTCAACACATTGAAGAGGCGGTGGACGGGTGAGTGGACCTGCATGCACATGCATGCGCAGGGAACATCAAGTGGCAGATAACATTATTTTAATCAAGATGGTTTTTTTATCTTCTACGCCCAAAAGGGTATTGGATGGTTTTGTTGGTCCACATACTAGCTGATGAGGGTTTCTCATTGTGCAGGAAAGTGGTGGTGCTGGTGAGCCATGGCGACACTCTACAGATCATCAACTCGCTTCTCTACTCCTGCGATCTACTGCCCTCATCATTCGCTCTACCCAAAGGCATTGTGGAATCTGCACCATCTCCAGATCCCACCATCCACTTGCCCTTGCATAGGTTGTTTGCCTTTCAAACAGGGGAATTGAGACCCCTCAATCTCTAGAGCTACTTTTCACGTCAAGGAGGGACATGTGCACCATCTGCATGTGACTATCTTGAAGACGTAACATGTGTTGAAATTTGTGCTAGATTGAAGTATATTTTACCCAGTGCTTGTAATTAATGGTTGTGTAACTGTATGATTATTCGTTGCTCTCTGCTACGCCGAGGCTGACTGGCAAAATCTAGCCCAACTGGAAGCCGAGCCTCCGTTACGAAGCTCTCGAATCCACCCAGTCGTGACTCAGCGTCCGCCAGCCACTGGTGCCGTGGGGCAGGGATGCCCCACCACACCGGTTCGGTTCGACGAGCCCGTCACCGAACCCAGGGCGAGCACAGCGAAGCAGGGCGAACCTCGGCGAAATGACGCGCATCGGCGAAAGTCGCGTTTCTATCAATTTCGTCGACCCAAATTATCGCGACTTTGCCACGTCGGATCCTCTCTAAATTGGATCGACCGTGTTTGCGCGCGCCCTTTCTACTCGAGTTTCCCGCCCTTCCCCTCCGAAATTCGGGCAGCTGTGTTGAAGTACAGATGTATCACAAACAGTCGCATTTTTAACGTTCTAGGGTACCTCTGTAATTTCAACTTTACCTGACTAGTTATATTTAAATCCTGACTTAAGACTGCAAGATACTTAGACCCCAAACCCTAGAGCTTGAAATAGCTATATCAAAACCTAGATCTTTAATTTTACTAATTATTTCAGAAGGAACATATCTAAACTGTTCTAATAATTTGGTCTTTTAGCCATTAAAGTAATAATGTGAATTCAGTAGTATTTATCTTAAATTCTTGTAAGTATTTAGAAACATGAACATATCTGATTTTTTTATGTAAACGTTTTTAATACAATCCACCCAAATGAAAATTTAATTGGTATAATTAAACTAGCTCACTCTATATGCCAAACAGGTCTAACTAAACCCAATATAGAGTTCCAGATTCATATTTTTTTTATAATACAAAATCATTATCATTAGAGAGACATAAACATGGTACCTGTGTGGAGGTACCCTAGAACTTTAAAATTACGACTGTTTGTGATACATATGTACTTCAGCACAGCTGCCCGAATTTCGGAGGGGAAGGGCGGGAAAATCGAGTGGAAAGGACGCGCGCAAATGTGGTCGATCCAATTTAGAGAGGATCCGACGTGGCAAGGTCGCCAAAATCTGGGTCGACGTAATTGAGAGAAACGCGATTTTTGCCGATGCGCGTCATTTCTCCGCAAACCTCTCTAACCGAAACCGAGGCCGTGCGCCAGGCGAGATGCCTCTGACATGTACTGTACGAACAATTGCGACCCGCGCAGACTGCATGCACCAGCTCGGCGAAATCAGAGATTTTCGGCAAACCTAGGGTCTTCCCTTTCTTCAGCCTCACCCCACCGCTCTCCTGTTCACTTCACCGCCCTGCCATTCACCCCACCCGTCCTGCTTTCAACTCTGCTCGCAATCGCATCATCCGCCTCCGACACTCCCTTGCCTGCTACCGGCAGGTCACTCCGTTAGTGGCTCCTCGGAAGTTATACTCGGGGCACGCACGCACGCGACCACGCACGTATTCAAATGCCAATAGCACGACCGCAGTGAATTGATGCGTTAGAATGCTCTCGTAGACTTGAATTGCACGACGTACTCGTTATGGAGAAAAGTCCGAGTCAAAGTCAATGGCCGGCCTGCCCTAAGCTGGGCACGACGGCGATGGTGCGCGCGGCGGCGCTGCTGCTGGTGCTGCCGGCCTTGGCCATCCTGAGCGTCGTGGATCCCGAGGTGGCGAAGCCGGCGTGGGACGACGGCGTGGTGGACGGCGTCGACGCCGACCTCTTCCGCCGCGCCATGGTGCAGATCGACGACGCGCGCCTCGCCGAGCCGCGCGGCAAAATCGCCTTCCTCTTCCTCGTGCGCGGCCCGCTGCCGATGCAGGAGATCTGGCACCGCTTCTTCCAGGTGACTCCCGTGTGACTTCCGTGACTTCCGTGCTCCACGTTGCTCCTTGCTTCCGAAGTGACTCGCCACTCGCTGTCGTGTCCAGCAAGCGAGCTCCCGCTTTTCAAGCGCGCACATTGCCGCGCGTCGCTCTCACCGAACCTTCCGACCATGTCCCGCCCCTCCTGCACGCCGTCCAAAGTCGTCAGCGCTCTTTTTCGTTCTCACACCCTGCTTCGCCCCCCACCACCACCAACTTACCACCGCCTCACGCGCGTGCGTCCCGCCACGCCCCCCATGCCGCTCCATTCGACCTCCGCAGGGCCACGAGGCGCAGTACTCGGTGTACATCCACGCGTCGCAGCCCGACTTCGACTGCGACCGCGCCGTCAACTACGCCGCCTTCCGCGGCCGCCAGATTCCGAGCGTGCCGGTGAGGCCACCGCCGGGCGTTGGCCCGAGCAGCGTGTGTCCCGGCGCATGCCGCGCCGCTGAGTGCTTCCCGCTGCTCCTGTACGTGCGGACGCGCACGTGCGCTGCAGCATGTGGTGTGCGTGTGGGTGTGCGTTTTTACTTTCGGCCTATTGGGCGAGCCCAGGAGGAAATGTGCGCTGCAGCGTGCGGTGGTGTGCGTTTTGCTTCCCACCACCACCCCTTCACCACCGCATTTCCCTGCTCTTGGTCCATGGCATGCCACGTGGCAGATTTCGTGGGGAGGGCCCAACCTGATCCGCGCGGAGAGGCGGCTGCTGGCGGCGGCGCTGGCGGACCCGGCGAACCAGCGCTTTGTGCTGCTCTCCGAATCGTACGACGCTCGCCCCGCCCCGCCCTATGCACGCGCTGCTTGCGCTCTCGTGCTCGCTGTTGCCTTCTCTTGCAGCCCGTGTGCTCGTGTGCGTGTACTGCAGGGCCTCGCTCCGTCATTCCCCTCACATTTATAAACCCAGTCCACTCCATTCCTCTCCTCTCCACCACCAATCCCGCCCCTCCCTTTCTCCTCTCTCCCCCATGTGGCAGGTGTGTGCCGCTGTTCAACTTCTCACACGTGTACGACTACCTCTTCGCCGCGCCCACCAGCTTCATCACCAGGTCAGCCGCATTGCCACGTGGGCCGCATTGCCACGTGGGCGGCATGGCCAGGTGGGCTGCATGCCAGGTGGGCTGCATGCCAGGTGGGCTGCATGCCAGGTGGGCTGCATGCCAGGTGGGCTGCATGCCAGGTGGGCGGCATCAGCGTCTAGAGGCAGGAGTTGCATTACAGGTAGACCCGGCAGCTCCAGCAGGTACAGGCCCCCTGTCATTTGTCTCACCTGCCGTGCTCCCTGCCCCATTGCCCCCCTCATTCCCCCCTTTTCACCTTCCCTCCCACCCCACTTCCCCCCACCTTCCTGCTGTGTGCGCGCGCAGCCATCCGAGCGAGTGGCGGTACCAGCCGGGCATGGCGCCAGCTGTCAACCGCAGCCAGTTCCGCAAGGGCTCCCAGGTGAGAGCGGTGGGCTCGCAGGTGGGGGGGTGGGGGCTTGCAGGTGGTGGGGGGGGGGGGAGCTTGCAGGTGGGGGGGGGGGCCTTGCTGGTGGAGTGTGGTGGGCTTGTGAGTGGAAGGCAGGAAAGGTGTGAGGTGCTGTGCGGTGAGGTGCTGTGCAGTGAGGTGCTGCTGCGGCTCCGCTTTCCGCGTGGCACAAGCTGTGAGGTGAGGTGAACATTGCCGCACACATCGTGTGGACATTCCACTGGTCACATTTTCTCTGATGCCACTTCCGTCCGCCACACATTCACACTCGTTTCTCGCCCTGTGTGCAACGGTGCATGCCTGTGTCTGCCTGTGGCTGGCTTGGTGCAACGCTGTGCCCCGCCCGTGCCTGCCTGCCACGGTTGTCACCCTGTGGTGTTTGGCAGTGGTTCGCACTGACGCGGCGGCATGCGGACATGGTGGTGGCGGACACACACGTGTACGACGCCTTCCTAAGCAACCATGCCATGGTCAGCCCGCCCCCCGCCTCTGCGCCCCCTCCCATGCATGCCTCCCCGTGAACGCCTCCCATGCCTCGCCTGCTCGCCGTTCACCTTGCTCCTTGGCTTTCCTTCTCTCGCGCCTGCCTTGCTCTGACAGCCTCTCTCCCTGTGTCTCTCTCCTCTGCTGTCCTGCCTATGCCATTCCACCGCTCCATCACATTCCCAATGCATGTCGTCTCGTCATCCTCCCGGGGCCATGCCTCTCCTTCATGCAACGGTCTCTCTGTTCCGCCTCTTTGTGTCCCCCCCTTCCCCCGCCTTCAGATTCCTGACGAGAGCTACATTCAAACACTTCTTCTGGTACCTTCCGGACGCCCTCCTTTCGCTTGCCTCCTTCTTCCGCACTCGCTTCTCCCTCTTGCATCTTTCTACTGCATGCCTTCTTCTGTCGTTCCTGCCACTCCTGTCGCTTACTGCTCCTGCTCTGTCCCTGCCATGTGCTCCCCTCCACCTCTGCCCCTCACCTCTCACCCCCCATCTCTCCCCCCACTTCCCCTCTCCCCCAACCCCCTCTCCCCCCAGATGCAGGACCCAGGCGCAGTGGAGCCGCGGGGGGTGACGTTTCTGCACTGGCAGCCGACGGCGGGGCGGCACCCGCTCACCATCACCTCGGAGCAGCTCACACCCGAGTTCCTGCGCTCCGTGCAGCGCACGCGCCTGCCGCCCAAGGAGGCCATCGGCTTCCTGCGAGTGCCCGCGCCGCGCCTCTGCCAGCTGGCGGGGCGGCCCACCCACTGCTTCTTGTTCGCCCGCAAGTTCAATGCCTCTACCATCCCCACCCTCCTCGCCCTCTCCCCCGCCCTCGGCTTCTAGACAACCCTGTTCGCTTCCTCTTCTCCTGTCTCCTGGGCTTCGACACCCTAAACCCAGAACCTTGAACTCTGGACTCCGGTGGCACCTGGCCTATGCCGTGCCACCATGGCTGCCGCACTCGTGTAAGATACATGCATGCATCAGCTTCACCACATCAGCCCACGCACAAGACTTGCGACGAGGTGTGGACTGGTGCACATACACTCCCTTGGGGAGATGACATTGCAGGCGCTGCAAGACAGTTGAAATCCCTTCCCCCTCACCTGCCCATGTCATGTCACCCCCTGATTTAGACTGAAGGATTTTTTAGGAGGTGTTTGTGGCAGAAAAGTGTTAGTGTCGTGTACAGGCCGCTGGATAGGATTCTGTACCTCTTTCACATAAGGCCAATGACTTACGGGTACATTCAAGTCTTGACATGTTCATAAGTAAGCGTCACAAAGGCCGCTCTGCACCGCATTACACCGAAGTATCAACCGTTTGCACCTCATTGTATCTAGTCTTTTGCGACGCGATGCTTTTGTGACGCGCTTCCCGAATGCACCCTTACTCACTCTTTCACACGCCGAGCCGCCTGCCAAAACGCATCCGTGCGCTTGCCGACACCAACGAACCGTGCCAGGACACTGATGGGGTAGGCCAGGTCGGGGCAGGTGCATACCATGGTGTTCATCAGCGCCCCAACAGGCTCTGCATAGGGGTCAGAGGAAATGAAGGGGGTTACAAGGGGGAAAAGCTGGTGCCTGGCTGCAATGGGCGTGGTGATGGGTTTGCCCTCTCGAGAACCTTGTCAATGTAAAAGACCCCCCGCAGTATCTCAAAGTAGGAATGCAACGGAATGATGAGATTAGGAATGTGGGTGATACAAATAGCAACCCTAACTGAGTTGTACTCACTAAGGAGCATCTCACTACAACCTATCACAAATATCAACATTTGACACACCCCCATAGGCTAAGTGAGGGGCATCAAAGCAAGCAGGATGAACAAACGGTCACAAGACCGGTCAATGCAAGAAGCAAAGCAAACTCAGGGTGGATCTCAAGGACACCACACAAATTCCGAGCACAAGCAAGCGGCCACAAGGCCAGTTCAAGAGTTCACTAGGACATATAATAGCAAAGCACAACAAGCAGAGCAAGCAACAAGACTACAGCAACCGAGGACCTGCCTCAACAAGCCCTAACTGCACACACAACCGGTGGTGACCACCAGGCGCCAAGGCCTTGGTAAAGAGGTCAGCAGTGTTGGCCTCTGAGGCCACAAAGTCCAGGCGCACCTGGCCGCGTCGCTGTAGCTCACGCAGGAGGAAGTACCGGACGTCGATGTGCTTCACCCTGGTCTCCAGTCGAGGCTCGCGACACAAGAGAATCATGGCCTTGTTGTCATCGAACAAGGTCGGAGCAGTGCGAGGTCGCTCACCAAGGCCAGCGAGCAAGAAGGTCAACCAGCAAAGCTCCTGAGCAGCCATAGCACCGGCGTAGATCTCTGCCTCTCCACTGGACGAAGCCACCGACGACGACCGTGTGGACCTCCACGATACAGCCCCAGCTCCCAGACTGAAACAGTAACCCTGGGTCGAGCGCTGAGTCTCCACGTCGTCAGCGTGAGAAGAGTCACAGAGGCCAGTCAGCCCAACTGGCCGAGTCCCTCCAAGCACAAGCCCCATGAGGGCAGTGCGGAGGTCGGTAACGGGGGACGAGGGACGAGCACTCGGAGGACAAGGACGGGAGCGGTAGTGGCGGACAACAGGAGGAGTGAGACTGCGGTGGAGGGGAAGACCAAACCGCCGGACGGTCGTCAGGAGGAGGAAACGTAGGACCAAACGCAGGGGGAGACTGAGAGCGGACAGGAGGAGAGGAGGGAAGACCAAGGGCCCGGAGGCCACTCACGGGCGGGAACAACTGCCGCTCCAGAGGGAGCTGCTGCGGCTGCGGTGGCGGCGGCGGCTGCTGCTGCTGCTGCTGCTGCTGCTGCTGCTGCTGCTGCTGCTGCCGCCGCTGCTGCTGCTGCTCCAGCAGGTCCAACTGCCGCAACTCCTGCCGCTCCCGCTCCAACCGCTCCTGCTCCTCGCGCGCACGCCGGCAGGCCGCCTGGTAACGCGTGTTGTGGCGGTGGGGAGGCGGAGTGCTCTCCGCAGACGTAGTGCCCCCAGCTCCAGTCTCCTCAGAACCAGCACCCCCAGTACCAGTGTCCCGAGAGGGGGTACCACCAGGGTCAGGGTCCCCAGCTCCAGCGCCCCCTGTCCTAGCACCCCCAGTGCCAGGACCTCCAACTCCAGCACCCCCAGAACTAGCACCTCCAGTGCCAGCACCTCCAGCTCCAGCACCCCCAGCACCTCCAGTGCCAGCACCTCCAGCTCCAGCACCCCCAGAACTAGCACCTCCAGTGCCAGGACCTCCAGCTCCAGCACCCCCACGGCTAGCGCCACCTGCGACAGCACCTCCAACTCCAGCACCCCTCGAACGAGCACCCCCAGACCGAGCACCGCCAGTGGCTGCACCTCCAGCTCCAACACCAACCGAGTCCACAGTAACCTGTCGCGGAAGTACCGAATGCTGCTGAGGGGACTGTGAGGAGGACTGTGGGGAGGGAGACGCTACCTGACGCGCGACCGAGGGTAGAGGGGTAGCGTGAGACACACCTGACGGGGCAGGACCAGGGGGGGTGGGGGTACCGGAGGAGCGGGAGCAGGGGGAAGAGAGGGTGCGAGGAAAAGGGGGGGAGGGGGAACCGGGAGACCTCGACAGGGGTACCGGGTGTAGTAGGACACTGACTTGTCAAACCGGACGTCATGGGAGTCTAGGAACTGGTGGAGGGGCGGGTGGTAAAAGGACCAGTCGGCCGAGGCTACCGGGAAGCCAAGGAAGACACAGGGGATGGCGCGAGCCGAGAGCTTGTCCGCAGAGGTGTCGCGGACAAGCGCAAGGCAGCCCCAGACATGAAAGGCTGACCTAACACCAGGGGACCCGGTCCAAAGACTGGTCGGTGAAGCCTCTGGCCGCGAGACGCGCGGCTGGAGGTTCAGCTGGTGAGCGGCGTAGCGAACCACGTAGGGCCATAGAAAATGGGGCGCACGGGCATGAATCATGGACGTGCGGGCGATGTCCATGACCAAGCCAATGCGGCGCTCAGCAACCCCATTCTGCTGTGGGGACTCCGGCAGCGTCCAGGATTGTACGATGCCCTGCTCGCTGCAGAATCCGGCAAGAATGCCTGAGCGAAACTCACCCCCACGGTCAGAGTGGAGACAGGAGACACGACGGCCACGAGTGCCCTCAGTGGCTAGAAGCCACCGGATAAGCGTAGAAGTCACATCGGACTTCTTCGCGAGAGGAAACACCGCGATGTACCTGGAGAAGTCGTCGTCGACCACCAGAAAGTAGCGCTCTATCTCAGGTCCCTGCATAGGTGCAGGGCCCCAGACATCCAAGTGGAGCGTGTGGAAGGGAGCAGTGGCCGGACGAAGGGAGGAGGAGTGCGGAGTGGCACGAAGACGGCCGTCGGTGCAGGCCGCACGGAAACCGGCGTCAAGTGAACGCAGGTGAGTCACGAGGTCGGACACAGTCGCAAACGAGCCAAGGTCGGGAAACACGAACGGCATGAGGAGGCGAATGAGGGAGGCAGAGGAAGGGGTGGAATAGCGCACAACAACAACATCCCAAATCCCCTGCGCAGTCTCCACCTGGGCAAAGTGGACGGCCTCAGTCGGTGGGAGGAGCTCCGTCAGCGCAAGAGCAGTGACAGCGTCGCGAGAGTCCCACACGTCCCTCGCCAAGACACGACGGTCGTAGTCCGCCTGCGCCGCAGGAGTCGGCTCCGGGTCGGTCGGGAGGGGTCGGGAGACAGGGGCGCCTTGAGGGCACCTGACGCGTGGGCCCACAGGGTGGCGCCGTCCTGACGCTGACTGGTGAGGTAGCGCGTGGCCTGGCGCTGCCAGGTACTGAACTTGATCGGGCGGCCCTCCGCATCGAAACAAAGGCGGCGGGACTCCATGCTGGAGGCTAGGCTAGAGGCGGCTGGAGCACGGAGGAGAAAAAACACGGAGTCCTAGGAGCGCCAGTGGAGACTAAGGGAGAGACCGGCGGAGGACTGAGCAGACTAAGCGAGGCGGGAAATTGGAGGCTAGGAGCTAGGCTAGAGACTAGTCTACATAGGGTCACCAGGGAGAGGAGCGGCTGCCAGCCGCTGAGCAGAAGGCCAGTGACAGTAGGGACGGTTGGGGCCCGGTGAACAGGGCAGTGGAGGGGTTAACCCTAAAATGACCACGGGCCTGGTGAGAGTTCGGGCCGGGCGGCGCAGGGCGAGGGCTAGTGCTAACGGAGGAAAGGGCGTGAGCAGAGGGCAGGCTAGGCGCTGCCTGGGGCGCGGGCTGGTGCGTGGGCTAAGCGCGGGCTGGTGCGCGGGCTAGGCGCGGGCGAAGGGCAGGCCAGGCGCGGGTTAGGTGCGGGCTCGGGCTAGGCGCGGGCTGGTGCGCGGGCATGCACTAAGGGAGGGCGCGGAGACGCGGAGGCGCGGAGGCGGAGGCGCGATGCGCGGAGGCGCGGAGGCACGAGGCGGAGGTGGGGATGCGCGAGCTAGGGCGCGGGCCTGGGCGACGGGCTAGGGCGCGGGCTGGGGCGACGGGCTAGGGCGTGGGCCTGGGCGACGGGCTAGGGCGCGGGCTGGGACGACGGGCTAGGGCGTGGGCCTGGGCGACGGGCTAGGGCGCGGGCTGGGACGACGGCCTAGGACGCGGGCCTGGGCGACGGGCTAGGGCGCGAGCTGGGGCGACGGGCTAGGGCGCGGGCCGGGGCGACGGGCTAGGGCGCGGGCCTAGGCGACAGGCTAGGGCGCGGGCTGGGGCGACGGGCTAGGGCGTGGGCCTGGGCGACGGGCTAGGGGCGCAGGCTAGGGGCGCGGAGGGCGCTAGGTGCGGAGGTCCGCGACGGCGCGGGCTAGGGGCGCGGAGGGCGCTGACGCGCGGAGGAGGAGGGCGCTAAGGCGCAGAGAGGGCGCGG